AAAAAAAAAAAAAAAAAAAAACCCCAAAAAAAGAGAGAGAGAGAGATATTTGAAATTTTTATTTTTATTTAGTATCTTCATTTCTTGTTGTCATGTATGTTTGCAATCTTTAATAAAAAATAATGACATTCACAATGAGTTCACAATGTCATGAGTAAATACTCATGCTTGTAATAGCTCAGTGGTTCTGCCACCTGCCTCACAAGTGCAAGGACCTGAGTTCAATCCCCAGTACCCAAAAAAAAAAAGCAAATCACAGAATTATATAACCAATGCAGCAAGCTGTATTTAATATATGTATGTATACATTAACATAGCCACACATAAATACTTTGCAGTGTTTCAAAATGTTAACAATGGTAGTGTTTGAATGATAGCGTGTCCTAGTTTTATTCTGCTTTTGAGCATTTTCCACATAAGCTCTACTGAGCACATTTTACTTTGTGCTTTTGTTGTGAAAAAAAAATCAGCATTTAATTTTTTGTTTGTTTTTTTTCTTCAGAGAATGAGACTTTGAGCAGTGACCTGACAGAGCCCAGCACATTGGGAGTGAAAATGCAGTCAGTAGAACTTAGAGCTGCTATGCAAAGAGCATACATGGGGAGTCTTCACTAGCAGCCAGATAGCAGGGCAGGAGGTGGAGGTCTCTATGTTCAGGGTCCTGTGGGACTCTTTTCTCCACCCAGCTCTTAGAGCCTGAAGGTCTGGGCTGGGAGAGCCACTTCACTTAACTGCCTGTGATGTCACTCAGGCTCCTTGTTCCCTTCCCCTGTCTTTCCCAGAGTTCCTCATGGGGAACATCGTGGTCTCTCAGAACACCTCCCTGCCCTGGCCCAGCTCCTACCTCACCAAGACAGTCCTGAAAATCTCCTTCCTTCTCCATGACCCAAGCAACTTCTTCAAGTCTGCCTCCTTTCTCTACCGCTGGGACTTCGGAGATGGGTATGTCCTTATTCACCCCCACATAGTGGCCCTTGTGCTTGTGAGGCAGGCAGGGCGCCACTGAGCTACATCCCTGGCCCTGCTCAGGGTTTTTGTTGGGATTTGTGTTAGTCTGCCCAACTGGATAATAAAAACCACAGAGTTGGGGGCAAAGAACATTTCTCTTCTCATAGCCCTGGAGGCTCTAAATTCAAGATCAAGGTGTGTCCAAGGTTAGTTTTGTTGAGGGCTTTCTTCCTGCCAGCAGGCTTCTTAGGGTGTCCACACATGGTTTTTCCTGTGTGATGGGGCCCTCCCTTCCTCTCCCTTCTTCACACCTCCACCCTCCCTCCCTCCTTTCCTTCACCCCCTGCCCCTTTTGCTCTGAACTATACCCAGGGGATCAAGTGTACTAAGCACATGATCTACCACTGACCTATAGACCCTCAGCCTCTCTTCCTCCCTCCTCTTCCTGTTCTTCCTCCTCCTCCTTTTCCTTATCTTCCTTCACTTCCTTTTCCTTCTTCTAGCACTAGGGATTGAACCCAAGGCCTTTGGACTGAGCTACGTCCCCTGTCCTTTTCTATTTTTTTTTCCATTGATTTTATTGGTACTTTTTAGGTATACAGTACAGTTACATTCATCATTGGGATCTTGTATCTTTACATGACAGATCTCAATTCTCATTTTTTCCCCATACTCCTGCCCTCACTTCACCTCGTCCACCCTCCCCTATTTATAGAGACTTTGTTTCCCCCCAAAAAACCATGAAATGGTAGAATTAGCACTCAGGGTTCTCTCAGTAAACTAGAAAAAGTTCATGGAACCCACAACCAACTTCATTCTGAATCATGGAGGGTAGACTGTGGATCCCTGACTCATGATGAGATAAAGGATCTGTGAGAAAAAAGGATCAGTTGAGTACTGGGAACAGGGTTTATGGGTACTGGGATTGGTGAAAGCAGTGCCCTGGGTAGCTCTGACAGGCTGACACCATTGGCCTGTCTCCATCTGTCTCTTGGAGGACCTGGGTAGCCACATGTCACCCTCACACTAGCAAGTACCATGAATCATTTCTGAGGCATAGGAAGGGGAAACAGTCTGCTGTCTCCCTCCTCCCTGTCACCTTCCAGGACCCTGCTGGTGACGGACAACTCCGTGGTCTATTATAACTATTCAGTCATTGGAACCTTCACGGTGACGCTTAAGGTGGTGGCTGAGTGGGAGGAGGTGAAGCCAGATGGCACTACAAAGGGCATTGTGCAGAAGACCGGCAACTTCTCCACCTCGCTGAAGCTTCAGGGTGAGCGGGTGCAGGCTGAGTGTTCAAGTCCCCAAAGATACCCAGATGCCACGCATTCTAGATTACAGTGTCTCTAGGCTGGCTCTTGGCTCCTTTCTCATACCCTGTAGACCTCTTTGTATCTCCGCTGTCCTCCCCGCTATAGAGAGGGTGCTGGAGGCCACACCATGGTCATCTACCAGCCCAGTGGCAAAGCCAGCATCTGGCCCAGGACTGCCTGCTCACAGAGCCCAGGTGACCAGAGGTCTTGCCATGGCTGCCAGAAACTTGCAGCTCCTGCCCTCCTACCTCCATTGGCCTGCATCTGCCTCTTTGGGGCAAAGGTTGCCCTGGCAGGATGGGAATCTCATTTTTCTGCACTGGGTGCGGATGGGGGTACCCAAGCCATCTCTTCCTGGCTTTGGTGGACATGGGGTGGCGCTTTCCCTGTGCACAGGCAATGGCTTAGTGTCAGTGAGCAGGACAGTTGGCCTTTGTCTGCTTCTCTGAGCTGGCTCTGGCCCTTGCTGCTGCTGCTGACAGAGGTGGTGCCCTGGACAGACCTGTGACTATTCCTGGAGGAGGGACAGAAGAGAAGTCAGGGAAGTGGCCACACAGCCCAGAGCCCTGGAAGTTCCAGGACAGCAGTCTTCAGCTGACTGGATGAATGGTGTCCTTTTTCCTTACAGAAACCCTTCGAGGCATCCAGGTCTTGGGACCTACCCTAATTCAGACCTTCCAAAAGATGACTGTGACCTTGAATTTCCTGGGGAGGTGAGTGACCCTGAGTGCCCAGCAGGGGCCCTGAGGCCCTCCATACTTTGATAAGTGCTCCCAAGCCTGTTCCAGCCCCAGTGGGCTTGTGGAAAGATATTGCTGTTCTACCCTGCACAGCTCCAATCTCAGGTCCTGGAGAAGCAGGACATGCCTCTGGGACTATTTGCAGCATGAGTTTCACAAAGCATGGAGGGAGCTGGGTGTGGTGACACACAGCTCTAACCCTAGTGCTCTGGGAGGCTGAGGCAGGAGGATGGCAAGTTTGAGCCCAGCCTGGGCAATTTAGCAAGACCCCATCTTAAAAGAAAAAATAAAAAGGGTTGGGAGTGCAGTTCAGTGTGATGGCCCTGGGTTCAATTCGAAGTCCTGGGACTGGAGCTTAGTACCTGGAGAATGGGAGCCATTTGGGTTTGGTAGAGCTGGTCTTTGAGGGGCGGTGAGCCTGTGTTTTACTGGGCCCAGGGTAGTGTGAAATGGGAACAACTGTTCAGCATTCCTCAGCTAGAGCTATGTTTTCCAGCTTCTGAGCCAGTGCTTGGCCTCCTTCTAGCCCAGTAAGAGCCTGGTTATCCGTAGATCCTGCTTTAGTACCACCTCTCCCACAAAGCTTCCTGACTTCCTCATGCAGCGGGCTCCTTGGTGCCCTGTGCTTGTGTAGCACACCCTGTGTGCCAGAGCAGCGCTGCCTCGCCTCTGCTGAGCCTTCTGTGCACGTTTTGGCCTCACTGGCCTGGGGTCCCCTCGGGGCCTGAGGCACCTCTCCTGCGCCATTGCACTTCCTGCTCAAGAGCGTGTGGCACTTGGAGTTCACTGTGCCCCTGCTCCTTGCCGAGCCCTCTCTGAAAACCCGTCTCTGTGTCTGCAGCCCCCCTCTAACTGTGTGCTGGCGGCTCAAGCCCGAGTGCCTCCCACTGGAGGAAGGGGAGTGCCACCCTGTGTCTGTGGCCAGCACGGCTTACAACCTGAGCCATACCTTCCGCGATCCCGGGGACTACTGCTTCAGCATTCGGGCTGAGAACGTCATCAGCAAGACGCATCAGTACCACAGGATCCAGGTGTGGCCTTCCAGTAAGTGACACCTCAGCTTCTGTGGTAGTGTTGCACAGGCAACCAGTCATACCCGCTGTCAGCCCTGCCACCGCCCACCACAGGTTCCTAGGAGCCACCCTTCCCAAAGTCACCAGCACCCAGCCCCACCAACACTAGCGCCATGAGCATCACTCCTCACTTTGGCAACAGCCAGTGCCAGTACTGCTACCACCAAACACCAGCAATACCACAGAAACCAGCCCCACCAACCTCACACCACCACCAGACTCCACAGTACCATCGGTAACCAGCTCTATCGACCTCATATCCCCACCCATCAGCTCTGCCAGCACCAGCACCAGCACCAGCACCACTAAACAATGACAACCAACTCGGCTACCGCTATTACTGCATAGGCTCTGACATTTCTTTGGCACCATCAGTGTCACTAGCCACAACCCCTAGCACTCCCACCCGATGGCCACTGTCGACTCTCCCCACCTACTGCCAGAAGCAGTAGACTGCGGCGTGGATCCTGGGAGAGTCCCAACTCAGGCCCCTCAGAAATGGCCTTTCACATGCCTTACCCTGTCTCACTTTCCATGCTACAAAAGGGGAAACTGAGGCACAGGATAGCAACAAGGTTGGATGTCAACCTGAGCACGAACCTGGCTTCCAGACTCCGGGCCCAGTGCTCTTTGGTAGGAGTAGGGTTCTCCCTAGCACTCTGGAGTGCATGTAAAACCTGCCAGCTGAGCCTGCCTTCAGGGTTTGGCCTGCACCTGGTGTTGTCACTGTCCCTTCCAGTGTCCCCAGTCTGTCTCTGAGTTCCTCGGAAAATGCTTCACTCCGGCTCTGGTTGACCTTGTGGGTCTTGTCAGGTACCCTGGGCCCTGCTGCCCCAGCACCAAGTGTCCAGGATCCCCTGAAGTCAACAGGGAAGACGGTAGTCCAGGTGATCACACCAATCACACCCCCTTTTCTTTCGTCCGTTTTTTTGAGATGGGGTTCCATTATGTAGTTCAGACTGGCCTTGAACTCACTATATAACCCAGGTCAGCCTTGACCTCAGCCTCTCAAGTGCTAGGATTACAGGTGTGCACCACCGAAACAGGCGATCACACCCCCTTTTCATGAGAAGCGGCATCCTCACCAAGGGTGTGGGGAGAACGAGAGAGAGCCCACAATTCCTGGTCACCCACATGTGCCAGGTGTAGCCACATCTCTCACCTCTGTGCCTTTCCATGGCAGTTTGGGGGTTCTCATCAGCATCAGACAGCCTGTTCAGAGCCAGGGTTCAGACCCAGGGCCACCTAACTGCAGACACCGGGCTGTTTCCCATCTGCCACGCTGCTCCCAAGCAACAGGCTTGGCAGGTAAGCCCAGATGGTGGGAGGTTGCGGCAGAGGTCACAAGGCTGCCGTACAACCTGGCTTCCCTTCCTCAAACCACATTTCCCAAAAGAGGCAGGAGGAAGCAGTGCTCTCTCATGGTTCAGTCTCAGGAGTCAGGCACCATTGCTCTTGCCAGCTGCTTGTAGGCCAGGAGTCAGTCTCAGAGTCCAGTCCACACTTTGGAGGTGGAGAATATCACAGCCCCTCTCAAGGATTACTATTAAGCAACCCATGGACATACTTAAAATACCTCCACACAAGCCAGGAGTAGTGGTTCATACGTGTAATTACAGCATTGTGGGAGACTGAGGCAGGAAGGTGGCAAGTTCAAGCCCAATCTGGGCAACTCAGTGACTAACGAGATCCTATCTCAAAAAAACAAACAAATAAAAATAAAGAAGGGCTCAGTGTAGCTCAGTGTAAAGGCCCTATGTTCAATTCCCACTACTTGAAATAAAAAATTTCCCACACACCCCAATTTCTTTTTATCAGTCCTGAGTTGAGGTTGCCTAAACAGAAGAGCGACCATTAGTTGGGCTGACTGTTCCCTTCCCCACTGTGCCAGCCACCTGAGAAGGAGTATTTGAGCCCCAGCTCCCAGCCCTGTAACACCCCCTGTCACTCCCAGGACTCCAGCCGGCTGTCTTTGCTTTCCCGTGTGCCACGCTTATCACCGTGATGCTGGCCTTCATCATGTACATGACCCTGCGGAATGCCACTCAGCAGAAGGACGTGGCGGAGGTGGGTGCTCAGAGGATGGGCTGGACAGCTGGGCCCCGCCCAGGAAGGAGCTGAGGGTCCAGGGCCAGAACAGGACACTTGGAAGGGTCTTGATTTTAGAGTGGGCCCTATGGTCTAAGATGGTGTGCCAAGGTTCATCTGTAGACTGTGTCAAATTGCGGAGTTGCAGTGCCCTCTGACCTAACTCCTTCTATGCTCATCCTTGTGTATATGTGGTGGCAGGTGGGCATTTCACATGCCTCTGCTTCTAGGCTGCTGAGCTCATAAGGCCACCTGACAGGGGTCTTGGTGGGTGGCAACCGACCCATGGGGTTTTGTTCATCATAGGTGGCTGATTTTGACTTTTCCCCTATGTCTGACAAGAACCCGGAGCCGCCCTCTGGGGTCAAGTGCTGCTGCCAGCTGTGCTGTGGGCCCTTCTTGCTGGAGTCATCATCTGAGTACCTGGAAGTTGTCCGAGAGAACCATGGGCTACTCCCGCCCCTCTACAAGTCTGTCAGAACGTACACAGTGTGAGCACCCCACCCCAGCCCGTAACTGTGTTCACTGATGGCCAGACTGGAGCTTCAGGCAGGGTGGTGTGTCACTGAGAAGGAGAGACCATGTGGCCAATTGCCCATCCATCTGTACAGTCTGGCTGCTGCCGCGAGACCCTTGCAGCCACCTCCCCAGCCATCTGCCCATCTGTATAGTGCAGCCACTGCTGTGAGCCTCTCTCGGGCAGCCCCACCCCACCCTGTGCCAAACAGGACTCTGACACTTGGTGTGTTACCTTGGGATTCTCCCACGGTGCCTGGCTGCCCCTCACCCATTCCTCTCCCATTGGCATATCTGCCATCGGGGGCTCACAGTGCCCTTCCTGGGGAAGCCATGTCTGTGCCAGAGCTAGGAAGGAGTTCACAGATGGTCCAGGATGCATAGCGAAAGGTTGTGCAGGCAGCTGGGCGCACCCTCAGAGAGAAGGGCGTATGTGTGCGCATGCACACACGCACACACACGCGCGCGCGCACACACACACACACACCACAGAGATACACACTTGTCATGGATCATCTCCATGATTCACTCTGTATCGGTGAATTGCTATTGCTGCAGAGCACTTGAACTAGAACTCAGATGGCAGAACTAGAACTCAGGTGACACCTGAGTTCCCCCTTGGCCCTCCATCTCCTGGGTTGGGCTCTCCCTTTATGTTTCATCCCTGCCTCTCCTTGTCCCCATTTTTTTTTTTTTTTTTTTTTTTTTTTTTTGTGTGGTACCGGAGATCAAACTCAGGCCTTTGGGCTTGCGAGGCAGGTGTTGCAACCACTGAGCTAAATCCCCGGCCCTCCTTGTCCCCATGTTGAGGCCACCCTACTCTCTGCCTGCTTGTGGGGGCAGGATGAGTGTGTGCAGAGTGCTTTATAAATTTGTCATCTTTTATTGAAACTCCTGTGTACCATATCCTTCAAGGAAAAGGTGTTGCAGCGAAAGGACAGGTTGAGGTCATGGGGACATGGGTTCCCTGTGTGTATCAGTCACAGGGCACCTTGGCTCCCTGGCTGCTCCGAGGTGACCTTAGGAAGGAAGACACTGAATCAGAGATGGAGTGGGGGAACCAGCCCCTCTTGTCCCTCTAACCCAATGATGGTGGAGGTGGAACCGGTAGCAGCAAGGAGATGAGGTCCGGGCTGGATCACAGGGCCAGGCCTCTGCTGCTGCGACCATTTGCTATCAGACTTTGTGCTGAAAATTGTGCTTACATTGTCATGTGGCTCATTCCCATGAAATACCACCATTACTGCTCAATAAAGCTTGAGTGCTGAGTGTTGCCAAGCACCCCGGGTGTGGCGTGGTCTATTTTCCCTGTGTGACAGATGAGGCCTGCAAACAGCAAGCAGGGTGATGCCCAGAGGCGGTAGGGCAGCCCTGGCGTGTTCTGTGATCAGGGGCACAGAAGGGCACCCGTGAGGGTCCCTGGAAGTGGGCTCATATCCAACATGAGTTGGACATGCAGCTCTGTCTAAGGTCCTGGGTAGATGCTGGGGTCCAAGTGGGAGTCCTGGCCACCCTGGGAACCTCCTGAAAATGCAGACCTTTGGGCTCCCCCGACCCCTGAGTCACCCCCAGGAGGGGCAGACACCTGCTCTCACCAGCCCCAGCCCCAGGGGACTTCAGTGCATGCTCAGGTCTGGGGACAGCTGGGCTGTGGCAGGCAGGGCATCACCAGCTAGACTTCGTTCAGCAATAATTGCATTTAGGAGTCTGGAGTGAGGCTTGGGAGTCTGCGTTTCTAATCAGTTGTTGGGCACTGTGAGTCTGAGGATCACATGTGGAAATGCAGACCTGAGTCTGGACCCTTCCCAAGCCTTTGCCCTTCTGTAAGACATTTCGGACCCTCTGGCCTCTTCTCTCCAATTACCCAAGCCCCTGCAGATGTGCCCCAAGCTTCAGAGTGGGTGGTCCCTGAGAATGGTGGGTGCTGCCCCTCACTCCACTTCGTACCACTGTGAACCATCTGGAACTTTTCTGACTCCAGCGACATTGGCTTGTAGGGCAGATGCTGCCACAGCACCCTGCTTCCGAGCCTCAGGCAGGACTCAGCTGTGCTAGAGGAGTGACAGGAAGGAGCCTGGGCTCTGCAGAGGCCCTTGTGCCTTGGACAACTGGAGAGGGACAGAAGAACATTGGAGGGCAGGGCATTTTTGCCTCGAGTTACTTTAGCATTCTTTTTTTTTTTAATTAATTTTATTGAGTTTATTGGTACATTTTAGGGATACAGTACAGTTACATTCATTGTTGGGATCATGTACCTCTACATGGGAAGTCTTGATTCTCATTTTTTCCCCCTACAC